TAACATGGGCTTTCCAACTGGTTTATTTCTTTTTCATTTTTCTATTTAGAAACATATGCAAACACTTCATTAATATCTAAGACCATAACTACATCTCAAGTAAAAAAAATAACTTGCATAAGGTTTATTTAGGTTCATTCTACTTTAAATAAGGATTTTAACTATTTATTGGTGGCATTTTTATATTGTTTGCATTCTATTAATTTGTAATTGCAGTGATCCATGTTTGATAGCCTACTACTAGTCTAAACTTCAGCATAGTGAATGGTGCAACAGTTTGCAGTTACCAAGGCCTACTGCTTCATGGTTTGGGACAGACTAAAATTCCTCAGCCGCTTATGTTCGGAAAGCTTAGACTGGGTCTTAATTTAAGGGTAATCACCAAATAGATCATGATCAATAAGCATTATCTTAACAGACTGTACACAGTGGAGGTTTGTTGGACTTTACTAGAGTTCCAAGAGGCATGTCAGCTATTTCAAATGGTTTTTGATAATATTTGAGATTAGCTTTGAACATAATGTTTCAGCTTTCCACAAAATAAACTTTTTAATGTAGTAAATTATTTCATAGATTAATGAAATATTATAGCAGTTTCTTTGAAATAAATGAGCAATGCATGCAGCTGGATGTGACGAGGATTGAAATGCAGATATAAATCATCTTTGTATAGCAATACTGTTTTTCATTTTGTCTACAAAGATTTAAAAGTTTTATGTGTAGAGACATGAAAAATCTAAGTTAAAATATGGTTTGCCTGTGGGTACCCTATACACATATAAAGTTGACAGATATCTAATAGTTCCTTTTTTTAAGTGCTACACATCACAGATTATCTCATTACTCATATTTATTAGGTATTTCAGTTTTCAGTAAGCAAAAGAAAACGATACTGTATTGTACATCATTACTATTTTCTCAATGACTTTCTTTGCTTTTTTTTTTTATCTTAAACCTTATATACATAGAAAGTTCATATCAATTTAACAATCCCAGTTTTCAAAGATTCTGCATGTCAGATTGTCTATTACTCTATATATTTATTAGGCATTTCAGTTTCTGTCACAGTTTTCGCTTTCATTAGAAGAAAATATGCAGTACATAATGACTACTTTCTTTTGCGCTTTATTTACTGTACATTTGATTTATATTTGATATTTGACTCTAGAGAACTAGATGAAATTTTACCTGATTAATGCAGTGGCTTTAAGTTTCCCAACATGTTACATTAACTGATTAGTATGATAACTTGCAGATTACTATATCTTTACCTTTTTTTTTTTTTTTTTTTTTTTTTTTGCTATGTCTTCAAAGTTTGGATTGTATAGAAGTAAAGAGACTGTCAAGATAAAAAAAGGAAGAAATGAACAAAAATGTGAGAGTATTTAATGATATGATTATAGAGAAAAAAAAATGCTGATTTGAGATACTTTTTTTTTTTCTGATCATAGAATGTGTACCATGAGGAATAACAGAAAACGGAAGTAGGAGTGCATTTTCTGGTGGTGCGTGGCATTACCTCGGTTAGTCCCAAGCCTCAAGGGAAACCCTCCCCATTGATTTACCTGGGAATGGTAGGTTTTCATTAGCTTCAAGATAGAAGCTATGGGTCTATACAGAACATGCAGATAAGATTTCATGGTCGTCTGTTTAAGTGTCTGGGTCTTTGCAACTTATTAAAATCAACTGTAT